CCCGGACGGCGCGCGGCGCGGGACAAGCTTCCTCCGCGCGGGGCCGAGGCGGTGGCCGTTGGGTGCGTGCGCAGGTGGCGCGAGGGGGAGCGGAGGCGCCGGCTCCAGGGCCGGAAGGAGAGAGGTGGTGGTGCCTTTTGCCAAGCTAGTCTAGACCCGATAACCGCTTGTTATGAATGAACTACACACCCTCACCGGAGGGACTTTCATTAGCTCTGCACATGTCCCAATTAATATGTCAAATAATATTCCGCGTCAAGCACAGAGCCCCAAATGAAGGTCCGATTCAGATGGGATTATGGGGCAAAATATTTGGGCCACCCCAGACTTCCTCTCGATGCCCCTGGGGGTTCTGTACTTGATGCGGGGGGGAGGGGATTATTTTACATATTAAGTAGAGCTAATGACATTCTCTCTCTTCAGGATGTGCAATTCATTAATAACCAGCTTTTATTGGGTCCAGATTAACTTTGAAAAAGGAACCAGGAATAAGGATTTGAGAATAAGGAACCGGGAATAAGGAATAAGCAACCAGGAATAAGGAACCAGGAATAAGCAACCAACTTCAGCCTCATCTAGGAGGCGTTTTCACAAGTGGGGGCAGGAGCTGACCAGTGCAGCCACACCAGTGCAGTGGGGCGGACTGGTGCACAGGGTGATCTGGAAATGGAGGCGTCTTTATCCTGCCCCCTCCACCTTCTTGTGGTGGCCAGATGTGCCAGGGGAGGTGTTGCACAAGAAGGGAGATGGCAGCAGAGATCTGACAGTGGAGAGAGTCATTTGGTGTCCCCCAGAGCAGCGGTTCTCAGCCTTTTGCACCTTACATCCCACCTACGTAAAGTCAAAAAATCCTGGTCCCACTGGTCGATGAGCAGGGGGAGGGGGTTCAGCATCCCACTGCTTCAAAAACTAAAGCTCCTTTGACAAGCTTTAGTTAAAGCGCCCCTGCCACCAGTTTAAAGCGTGCGACGCTGAATACACGTGATGCTGTGGGCTCTTTGATTAGAGCTCTCAGAGCCTCTCTAATTAAAGCACCTCCTCCCCCCACCATCCTGGAGCACATATAAAGATGCCTCTTGCATCTGAACCTGAAAGCTAGTGAGAGATAGAATAAATGTCCTAATTTCCCACAGGCTTCTGAATCAGGCCCCTGGCACCTCCAGCACCCCTTTCCTTCAGATTCGTCCTTCAACATATTTATTCTTCAAGGCCTTCAAATGAAATCAAAGAGTTATATTATTTGAGGTGTTTTGCCATGCTTTGAGTTAAACCCCTTTTTCAGCTGTCTGGAGGGTATTGTCTATCGTTAGCGTTGTCACTCAGATTCTAGCTGTTCCTATTGTAGTAACTGGCAATTTTACAGCTCAGTCTGGGGAGACTGAATGGTGTAAATCACCTGGAAGCTAATCAAATTTTCAAGAGTTGCTCAGTGTTTAGTGAGATTTGGGTCCTTACAAAGGAAAGCACTAGGAGGCAAGTGCTCCAGATGTTGTATGGCTCTGACCGGTAGCTTAGTACAGGGGTGTCAAATGTATAGTCCACAAAGCTGGGTCATCCAACCTGCAGCCTTGATAGGGGAACTTTCCTGTGGCTGTAGCCAAGCACTAGGGTAAGAGCTGGGGCACTGGAGCTGCAGCTGCACTGCAGGAAGAAGCCTGATGTCTGACTTGTTCCTGCAGCCAAGCGCCCAGTATGCTGGGTCTCTTCCCACTGGGTCCTGGACCAGAAGCGGGGTGGTCCATGGGGCCAGCCATGAACCATTTATCTGGCCCATGGACCAATCCTGCATCAAATGAGTTTGACACCCCTGGCTCAGTAAGTGATGTTGGATGAATCAGACTTTCATGACTAAAAGTGCCCTCAAACTTCCTTAACTCAGGTCAGACCCATGTCCTTATCAAAGGGAGGGCCCACACTGCTGGAAACCAAAAACCTAATCTTGCTTCCAGTTTGTCCAGTGGCAGGGCTCCCATCAACTTCCCTCTGAGCAGAACTCTGCCCTGAATTCCTCTCTTGAGCTAAATCCAGGCCCAAAGGAAATGCAATTACAGTGTTGGGCGACTGGTTATTATAAGCTTGCTTATTAGAATCACAATTCTAAACCATAATCTATTTGTATAAGATTTTTTCACTGGCTGTTAGAATCTATGAATAAAATATCAAAACTAGAGTTTCTTGATGGGATTCCACATGGCTTTTTGCTTTGGACACATTACTTTGCTGCTCATTGTTAGAATCAAAGGTGCCCTGCCCAGTGGGATTCTAATAACCAGTGGACACTGTATGAATCAGATGATTTCAGTGTTGTTGATCTGGCTTACACTGCAGCTGGATTTGGCCTTCACCTTGTAGTGCTCTGCTGACATACTGCCTTCTTGCTTTAAAGGGTCTTGAACCAGTCACGTAACTGCCAGTTTGTGTTCCTGTTTCTCATGTAGTGTGGATGTTGAAACAGCCCCTGAACACACATGGTGGGCTTTGCTCCAGCTCTACGCACATCTCTGAGCACTGTAGCTTGGCACAAACCTGGTGGAGTAGGAGGGCACTTCTAAATTGTAGCCCAATAACTTAGTAGTTAGGGCCCTTGCCCAGGAAGCAGGAGTTCCAGATTTTAGGATCCCCCTCATCCAGAAGGAGTTTTAATCTACAGCTCTCCAAATCCCCAGCACAATGATGTAACTACCAGGCTACAGGTTAGACATCAGCCAGTTTTCCTTTCCAGTCCTCTTGAAGTTGAGCCACTGCACCTTGTATTTAATCATCATTGGATAAAGTGGATGGAGAGCAGTGGGGAAATTTCTGCTCCATTGGCAGCAAGGGATCAAGCTAGAACTTGGAAGGATCCCTCCCATCTAGTGTAGCAGTCATCTCACTGAGTCCTCTGGCCCTCTAGCTTGCTTTCTTCCTTGTTGCCCTATGTGTCTCCCTCTCTCAGCTACCCAAGGGTTCAGCTTCAAGAAGATTCTGCATATTGGCATTGATACAGTCCTTTGCCATGTCTCTTAATAGTTCATGCCCAGCGTTCAGGTAGATTCTTTGTATTACTGCACCTCAGCACACTTGTCTTGGGAGTGGCATCAACACCAATAGTCAGCCCTTTGTATAGGAAGTTATACAATATCAATATAAGTAGTGCACAAGATGTTTGCAAAGGGTGTTGGTTAGCTGCTTTATAAAGTCTACAACTAAATCCAGACAGTGTGAACTTTGAAACCACAGAGCACAGAGACAGATTATTCTTTGGGTAACTCGTACAGACGATACCCCAGAGATATGTATAGGACATGCATAGTTTCAGCATACCCAAGCACATCTCTAAGTTGACTTGATAGTCAGATGCTGTTTTAATGTTATGAGAAGTTTTACTGTTGTATTATTTTTTCATACTATTCTCTGTATACATTGACTCTAAATTATATGGATCAAAATGATTTTTTATAAGTAGTGAATTTGTATATAGGAGTGGACAGGCTGATGATATCTTAGAGCAGAGAATCAGGAGTTTCTCTTACAATTTTCCATTATAAACTTGACACTCACCTTTGACACACTTCCATCCCCATAATACCCACCCACCCTTGCAAAAAAGAAAAGAAAAACCCTGCCAAACCAAAGGGGTTTTTAATTCTACAAAATAGAAGTGTCGGGCACTCTCCAATCCACTAAGAATTTGGGTATTCCTATTGATTTTACATGGAAGAGACCCTATGGCAGTGGTAAGCATCTGCCTCCAGTTGGTAACAGTATAAAACCTGCGCTGTCAGAGTATTCTGTTCACAGCAGCAGACTTATGAAACAGCAACCATCAGTAAATGCTTCTCTGCAGCTGCTTCCTGTTTCTGCACTTTCGTGTCTGAAACACACTCTAAACATCAAATGCTACTAAATATAAATATATGCTTTTTTAGGGGACACTAAAGCATTAAGCCTTAACCTCTTTGAAGTCCTCTAACACTGCTAACATTTTATGGATACTTCAGTGTGACAATGATATTCTGAAATGCTCAGTCCTAAAATTTTGCTCTTCAGGTTTGTGTGGGTTCAGAAAATTAGACAAACAATCTCCGGCTTTCTGTGATGAAGGTTTAGAAGATTATAATCTCCTCTTCTGCTCCAAGCCCCTGCACCCCAGTTGCATATCTAAAGGTTACTAAATATATTACTTTGCTACCACATCCAAACAATATTTTGAGCAATGGTTTCTGTGTTGAATGTATATGCAAACTATAAAATACGTACCAGTCTGAGGGAACAGAAATGAACACTGACTGCAAGGAACTGAGTTCACACCAATTGCTGAACTCTGGTTTGCAAAGGGTAGAAGGAATTCTGTTCAACTGCAGCCTCGGGCCTCTGAATGATTTCAAAGAGAAAAAAAACTGCTCTTAAGACAGATATATTGTGTATTTGATTTGCATTCCTTTCTTCCTGGTCCACACAGTTAAGTTGTACCTTCCCCCTCTCAAATTTCTCCCACTGAAAAGCAATACTGTTCATGTTGTTCTCCTGCCATTTCAGCTGGATCCTCAGTTTCCAGGATGTAAATTCTGATTGCCTCCAAACTTTCACCAGCACAACTGAGACCAGTCTGCCTGGCTTAAAATAGACCCCACTAAATTGTGGTGCTGTCTCACTTTTGTCACTGGGAGGGATTTAGGTCAGATGCTGAATCATTGTGTCAAGACTAGAGAAGATATTTTTGCTAAAGAAATTA